TGTTCTTAAGATTTTCTTTATCTTTTTTTTTTTCTCCCACTGTGCCCTCCAAGATTTTCATATGAACTAAGTAAACTGAATTACTCAAGGAAGGGGAACAACTAAGGGAGGTATAAGTTTAGGGGTATAAGGATTAGAAACTCTCATTTTATCATAATTTAAGATTAAGGGCTACAGAATGCGGAAGCTCAGTGAAGAGACATGAGAGCTGGTATATTAATGGCATTATAGCCAGGGGACCGAATTAGATTTCTTGAAAAGATACCATATATATACAGAAGAACAAAGAGTATCAATCAAAAAGGACAGCAGAAGATGAAATAATTGTAAATGCCTTGTGGATACCTGCTGACATCAATAGCTGGGGTCAGCAGTGCAAATTTCTGTAAGAACTTGAAAATTAAAGAAATAATACTATTATCAGGGCTAAACTTTAAAGCCAACATGTGGTGGGTCAGAGCAGAGATATGAATACCAAAGGCTGTGACTTCACTGTAATCTGTGTCATGGGCTGTGTTGTATGCCTGCCAAATTCTGCTGAAGTACCTCTAAATGTAACCATATTGGAGAAAAGGTGTTTAAAGAGGTCAAAGTAAGTTCAAATATGGTCCTTAGGGTGGGCCCTAATCTAATATGAATGGTGTCTTTTTTTTTTTTTGTGAGACGTTGTTTTCCTCTTGTTGCCCAGGCTGGAGTGCAATGGCACCATCTCAGCTCACTGCAACCTCCACCTCTTGGGTTCAAGCAGTTCTCTTGCCTCACCCTCCCGAGTGGCTGGGACTACAGGCATGCAGCACCACGCCCAGCAAATTTTTCTATTTTTAGTAGAGACGAGGTTTCACCACGTTAGCCAGGATGGTCTCAATCTCCCGACCTGGTGATCTGCCCACCTCAGCCTCCTAAAGTGCTGGGATTACAGCCATGAGCCACCGCGCCTGGCCTGGTGTCCTTATAAGACAAGGAAATTTGGAAACAGACCTGTGCACACAGAGGAAAGACCATGTGAAGACAAAGGTAGAAGATGGCCATCTGCAAGCCAAGGAAAGAAGCCTCTGAGGAAACCAACCCTACCAGCACTTCGATCTTGGACTTCCAGACTTCACGGCTGTAAAAAAATTAATTTCCATTGTTTAAGTCACCCAGTCTGTAGCATTAGTTACAGTAACACTAACAAACTAATATAACCTGATTAAGTGTAATATTAATACAACAAGGCCGGGCACGGTGGCTCACGCCTGTAATCCCAGCACTTTGGGAGGCTGAGGCGGGTGAATCACGAGGTCAAGAGATCGAGACCATCTCGGTCAACATGGTGAAACCCCGTCTCTACTAAAATACAAAAAATTAGCTGGGCATGGTGGTGCGTGCCTGTAATCCCAGCTACTCAGGAGGCTGAGGCAGGAGAATTGCCTGAACCCAGGAGGCTGAGGTTGCGGTGAGCCAAGATCGTGCCATTACACTCCAGCCTGGGTAACAAGAGCTAAACTCCATCTCAAAAAATAATAATAATAAAAATACAACAAAGTAAGAAAGTATGTCAATCAGAAAAGAGTTTCATCACCTAAGAAAGTATAGGGACAGTTCCAGGAGGTCTTCTTTGCCTCTCCTTCATTATCTTCCTGGACTGTAGATATGATGATTGAAGTTCCAAAATCCAGCTTAAGCATTTTGGACCATGAAGTTAAGGCTACACTCCAGGGGTGAACCACTGCACCCAGCCTGATTCCATAATTTTTCTCAATTGTTTCTTTTGAGTAGAATCTCATTTCCTCTGTCATTTCCTTTTCTACATATTAAAGCTCCCTCATTGTTTTTAAAAATTTATTTACTTTTATTATTTTTTTAACAGAGAAAGGGTCTTGCTCTGTTACCCAGGCTGGAGTGCAGTGCTTCAATCATAGCTCACGGCAGCCTCTAACCCTTGAGCTCAAGTGATCCTCCTGCCTCAGCCTCCCAAGTAGCTGGGACTACTGGTCTATCATCAACCCCAGCTAGCTTCCTCATCCTTCCATTGTTACTGGAAAGGGGTCCTGAGCCAGATGTCCAAGAGACGGTTCTTGAACCTTGTGCAAGATAGAATTTGGGGCAAATCCACAGAGTAAAAGTGAAAGCAAGTTTATGAAGAAAGTAAAAGAATAAAGAATGGCTACTCTATAGGCAGAGCAGCCCCAAGGGCTGTGGCTTGGTTATTTCTTGATTGTGGCTGGACTGTGGCTAAAGAAGTGGTGGATTATTAATGAGTTTTAGGGAAAACAACTGGGCAATTTCTGGAACTGAGGGTTTCTCCCCTTTTCAGACCATGTAGGGTAACTTCCCTGACGTTGCCATGGCATTTGTAAACTGTCATGGCGCAGGTAGGAGTGTCTTTAATATGCTAATGCATTATAATTAGCATATTATGAGCAGTGAGGATGACCAGAGGTCACTTTAATCACCATCTTGGTTTTGGTTGGTTTTGGCTGGTTTCTTTACCGCATTCTTTTATCAGCAAGGTCTTTGTGACCTGTACCTTGTGGTGACCTATCTCATCCTGTGACTAAGAATGCCTAACTTCCTGGGGATGCAGCCCAGTAGGTCTTAGCCTTATTTTACCCAGTCCCTATTCAAGATGAAGTCACTCCAGTTTAAAAGCCTCCGACACCATTATTCCCATACTTCCATTAGAGAATAAAGGCAAATTCATATACCCCATCTCTCACCCTACTTATTACCAGTATTTCCTCAATTTACTTAGTGATACTTTTTTCTTTCACTGCCCTCTGTGTTTCTTTTGAAGCTGTGTGCTCAGATGAAAAGGATAATCTTTCCAGATACCGAGAGGGGATTCCCCCCCCACCACCCCAACAGTGGTCTGCAAGAAACCTTGTGTTTTTTCCTTACAAATCTCCTCATTGATGACTTCTTGATTTTTCCCACATTTCTATTTGATCTTTTCTCTTCTGACATTACAATGTCATTTATTTAATTTAATTAATTTATTTTATATAGAGTCTCGCTCTGTTGCCCAGGATGGAGTGCAGTGGTGTGACTTCAGCATACTACAATCTCCATTTCCCAGGTTCAAGTGATTTTCCTGCCTCAGCCTCCCATGTACCTGGGACTACAGGCCCGCGCCACCATACTTGGCTAATTTTTTTGTATTTTTAGTAGAGATGGGGTTTCACTATGTTGGTCAGGCTTGTCTCAAACATCTGACCTCAAGTGATCTGCCCACTTCGGCCTCCCAAAGTGCAGAAATTACAGGTGTGAGCTACTGCACCCGGGCCCCAATGTCTTTTTTTTGTATTTTACTTTTTTTCATTTATCATTCTCTGCCTTTTATAATGATAATTTTATTCACTCACCCAACCAACATGTAAGGAACCATTATCAATCCCTTTTTAAGATGGGGAAACAGAGTTCAGAGATGTTGGGTTCCTTGCTCGAAGACAGACAAGTGTTAAGGGAATGGAATGGAAACTTGAGCTCAGGTCTTAAGGCATAATCTGTGTTCTTTCCACTGTTTAATCTTAACTTCTCTCAGAGGGAGCAAATAAGAGGCTTCCCTGCCAAATCTGCCCCCATCTCCTCCAGTGTTTCTGTGTGATAAACATGGTAGCTGCTGCTTTGGTGTTTTGTTGTTGTTGTTGTTGTTGTTTTTTGAGATGGGGTTTCACTTTTGCTGCCCAGGCTGGTGTGCAATGGCGGGTTCTTGGCTCACTGTAACCTCCACCTCTTGGGTTCAAGGATTTTCCTGCCTCGGCCTCCCAAGTAGCTGGGATTACAGGCCTGGACCGTCACATCCAGCTAATTTTTTGTATTTTTAGTAGAGACAGCGTTTCTCCATTTCAGTCAGCCTGGTCTTAAACTCCCGACCTCAGGTGACCCACCTGCCTTGGCCTCCCAAAGTGCCGCTTTGGTTTTTTACTCTGAATTTGAATGTCTTTATATTGGCCTTGCACTTTCTAGTACTCTAAGATCCCCACCAATCCCTGTGGTCCTGGCTCTTAAGGCTTTTGTGTTTTTGACCCCTTAAGTTTCATTCAAGTTCAGTTTCGAATGTCTCATTCCAAAGGTCAGAAAGACTGGGCTAAAGTCTAAGTCGTGCATTAACCTTATTGTAACGGTTAAAAAATTAAAAAGATTGAATTTTCCCAGTTGCCAAAAGGATGAGACATTCCCCCACACCATTTCTTAAAAACTTTTCTTGAGCAAATTGTGATTATAATCTGTGCGTGTGTGTGTGTGTGTGTGTGTGTGTGTGTGTGTCTTTTTAAAAGCTAAATACCCAGGTACAAATAAAAAAATAAAAAATAAATAAGCCTCTTGTCAGATAAAAACCAGGAATTTTTTCCTAAGGTCCCAGGAGCCAACTCCTTGAAATGTAGGTATCAAGATAGCGCCCCTGTGTTCCACACTGCAGGAGTTAATCTAAGCACCTTGCTCCAAGCTTTAAATACCTGTTTGTCACAGAGATAACGTTTTATTTTTCCTTTGGATAAAGGCAACTAGCCAACACAGACGGCCACTCCAAGGGTAAACTACCAAAAAATTGAATACGAAACTATGTCAACTCGTCTTCCACGAGTACATGCGTGTGCTTTGGCTACATAAAAGATGAGATTTTCGTCTCTCTTTGCAATCTTATTAGTGGATTGCCTGTGACACCATTCCAGTCTGGTTCGATGCTTACAGAATAATACAACTTTTTTTCCTTTTCTACATTTGTTTAGATTTTCTAGGACGGCAGATTTTATTTTCTTTTTATTTTTTCTCGACAATATCAATTTGTTTAGGTCCCTTACTTTTACTAGCCACCCCCTTCCCACCTGCTTTCAATGGCAAATTAGAATGGTGGCTTGCCCCTTGCTCACCTCTTGCTTGACTTTGGGAAGCGGTGAAAAACTGCAACCCGTGGGCAGTAAGAACCACGATTCCCAGCATTCCCAGCGCTCCGAGTCCTTTGAACTTCCTTTTCCGGGTCTCGAGGCTGCTGAAACCGAAAGTGCTGTGCTGTGGGCGCAGCGCCGAGATTGATTCACCTTCACCTGCAGAACTCCAGCTGACCCACGTAGGAAGCCAGGCAAGCTGTAAAACATGAACGGAAGAGTGGATTATTTGGTCACTGAAGAAGAAATCAATCTTACCAGAGGACCCTCAGGTATGTGCGGAACAGGTCATTATCGGATAGTAGGGGATTAGAGGAGGTAATTGCCGACACCTCTGCTGCTGAGCGGGATTCACCTGGCCTCGGGGCAGGCAGGCCCCAACCTAGAGGTTTCCTGCAAAGCTTTGGGGTGCTTAGAGAAAATATATTGAATTCCATCATTAGCCAGATACGGGTCTGAGGAATCCACCTCAAAATCCAGTCGGGTGGCCACAAATATATATAGTCAAAAAGGGGTTCTTTCTGCAAATCCTGCTAGAAAAGCCTTTTTTAAAGCCTGCTTTTTTTAGACAGCTTACCTTGGGCACCACATCCTTCCGTTGCCTGTTCTATCACTCCCCCTACGAGGGATCGTTTAGTAAATTGGGAGCATAAACGGTGTGAACTCTGAATGCATAGCCGTTTTCCTCCAGCTGGGAACCCTTCCTCGCTCCTTTCGTTTCTGGGAAATTCATTTAGAGCGTCAACTAGAATGTTAAATCACGAAGAGCCCTTAGAAATCTTTTATTTACACAGTTTCCCTAACTTGGTTCTGCCACCAAATTACCCAGGGCTTTTTGGTTTTGCCTTTTATTTAAAAAATAAAAAAAGTTTAATTCCTGTGTCATTTGCAGGGATTTGGATTCAAAATGGGTGTGTCTGTGTGTATGTGTGTGTGTGTGTGTGTGAGTGTGTGTGTGTATATATATATATATATATATATATATATTTTTTTTTTTTGTAATGAACACCTCATGTGATTTTGAGTAGCCAAACTGCTATCCTCTTCCTCCACTGAGGCTCTTCATTAAACCCGGCTCTTGACGTTACTGCGTTCTGCCTTCTATGGACTTTGTTGACTTTCCTTTACAGCTGTTTAGTTCATTGGTTAAAAGCTTTAGCTTTGGAATTACAGTATCTGGGTCCAAATCTTCTAACCTCTTACTGGTTCTTTGGTACTTATTGGCTATCTTAAGTGATGTAAGCCTTAGTTTACCATTTCTAAAATGGGGATGGTTGTAAATACACTTCGTAATGTTGTGAGAATGATGGAAAATGTTTACAACATTGCCAGACCCATGGTAGGCAGTGTCTCCTATTGTTATTGTTAATGGATGAATGGCTTAACTGACACAGTAAATTCTAATATTGTATTCCAAGAGTCTTTAATAAATCATCAAGTACTATGAGCTTCATTTCTGAAATGTTCCTGAAATTATTTCACTGCTATTTCCATTGCCACTACGTAAGGCAGTGCATCACCTTTTCTCATCTGCAGTTCTGCAGTAGCCTAATCATCATGGATAGATTATTCTTTATAAAATAGGACTTTCAGAATTACCCATACGTTGTGTCTTCTCTTCTTTTCTTTTCTTTTTTTTCTTTTTTGAGACAGGATCTCACTCTGTTGCCCAGGCTGGAGTGTAGTGGCACGATCCGAACTCACTGCAGCCTCTCCCTCCCAGGCTCAAGCAATCCTCCCATCTCAGCCTTTTGCGTAACTGGTACCACAGGTATACACTGCCATGTCTGGCTAATTTTTTTGCATTTTTAATAGAGACGATGTTTCGCTATGTTGCCCAGGCTGGTTTCGAACTCCTGAGTTCAAATGATCCACCCACCTCAGCCTCCCAAAGTGCTGGGATTATAGATGTGAGCCACTGCACCTGGCCTTCCTTTCTATTATAAAAAATTGGAAGTTGGTTTTACTTATTGGAATATAACTCATCACTAATATCATTATTATTATTTGTTTTTAGAGACGAAGTCTCACTTTGTTGCCCAGCATGGTCTTGAACTCCTGGACTCAGGCAGTCTTCCTGCCTTGGCCTCCTAAAGTGCTGGAATTACAGTCGTGAGCCACCACGCCTGGCTTGTCGCTAATCTTAATGGGTTAATGTCATGCTCCATTTGTGGACCGAAATTTTAGTCAAAGGCTCATTTGGTATGCCCAAGTTTCTTGGATTCATTTTTTTGCTATTTTATATAAATTTCTCCTTCACTCACTGTTAATATTTATTGACTTTTGAGGTTAACATAGAAAGTTACTTTTAAACCAAAATCTGTTTTTCTGTACTTTTCATTCATTGATAATTTGTTTTCTTAGTACCATTTAAAACAATGCTAGTTCCTTTTCTGATTGCTGTGCAAGTAGTAAAGGCTCTAGTTGTTCTGCTCCTGTTTTGCCACTTTCTTCTTTAGCCTAAATATCTTCAGTTATTTTTTATTTTATTTTATTTTATTTTTTTGAGATGGAGTCTTGTTCTGTTGTCAGGCTGGAGCTCAGTGGTGCCATCTTGGCTTACTGCAACCTCTACCTCCCGGGTTCAAGTGATTCTTCTGCCTCAGCCTCCCGAGTTGCTGGGGCTACAGGCGCATGCCACCACACCCAGCTAAGTTTTGTATTTTTAATAGAGACGGGGTTTCACCATGTTGGCCAGGATGGTATCGATATCCTGACCTTGTGATCTGCCCGCCTTCGTCTCCCAAATTGCTGGGATTATAGGCGTGAGCCACCGTGCCCAGCTCTTCACTTATTTTATTACCTCTCGAGATGTTTGAGATTTGATTTTTGCCTTTTGTTTAAGAATTTAATGTACTTTGACATAGTCCTTTTGCTGTGGCATCCACAGTGTTTTCAGATCTCCTGTCTAAAGCAGAGCAGAACCCTGATACTATCTCTTGTTCTAAACATGAAATCTTCTTAAAATTTAGTATAATGTCACTTCATCTTTTTTGGCATTTACAGTCATAAATTTCCTAGTGTTAGTATTTTCCCAAAACATTGGCATTGGCATTAGGACAAGCTTCAAGGACTATTTAAAGGGAATAATTATATCTAGCTAATATATTTCACTAAAAATGGTTTGATTTCTGTATCATGTACATATTACAAATGAATGTATTTATTTACGCAGTGGCTTCCTAAATTTTCATAAGCATTTCCATGTCTTAATCATATAAGTCAGTGAACTTCCTGGGAGAGTAGAGCCACAAATTTAGGAATGAACTTGGGTGAAAACAGTCATTTGAAATTTGGTTGGTTCAGTTAACAAGGAAAGGTTTCAAGTTCATGTTTATCCCAGAACTGGTTTCCTAGTATGTGATACTCTTCTTTTGAGTATCTAATTCTTCTTTTGAGAGTCTAATTCAGCTTTTCTTCATGGTATCATCATGAAGATATATAGGGAAGAGACTGAGTCTCAAAATACCACTAGAAACTTCTACATAATTTTGAAAGTCCCATAAGTATCTTTCTTTCTATAGAAGAAATATGAAAATCCTCTAATTTTAAGGTTGCATTTCTTTTGTAGACAGCGTTGTCACTCTTTGTCTTTGTACAGCTTTGTACTCAGGAACCTGATGGGTTAATCAGGTCCAAGAATGTATATGCTGTTGCCCATTTGTGTTCTGTCAGGGACAAGAATTATGAATATTTCCGCTGTTTGGGCCCATATTAAAAGGCACTTGAACTTGTTCTATGTGATCTGCTCTCTGCAAGGGAAGTAATGAAATCTCGGGGAAATTACGACAAAGTGAGTGAGAAGGCTAAAGAAACTTGACATGTGTTAGGTTGGTGCAAAAGTACCATTATTTTCTGTTTTCTTTTCTTTCTTTCCTTTTTTTTTTTCCTTCTGAGACTCATCATGCTCTGTCGCCAGGGTGGAATGTGGTGGCACAATCTTGGGTCACTGCAACCTCTGCCTCCCAGATTCAAGCAATTCTCTTGCCTCTGCCTTCTGGTAGCTGGGATTACAGATGTGTGCCACCATGCCCAGCTAATTTTTGTATTTTTAGTAGAGACAGAGTTTTACCGTGTTGACCAGGCTGTTCTTAAATTCCTGACCTCAAGTGATCTACCCACCTTGGCCTCCCAAAATGTTGAGATTACAGGTGTGAGCCACCGCATAAGTACCACTACTTTCAATGGCAGAACCACAGTTGCTTTTGCATCAACCTGCAAAATGCGTGGAATCTCTCCTGTTGTCTACTTTCTCCGCTGTAAGGAGGGTCTTGGACTAGATGACTTCAGAGGTCTCTTCCATTTCCAAGAGTTCATAGTTCTTTGGCCCATTCCACATGTTATTTTATGATTCCTACCATTTTGGGTTTTGTTTGTTTTGTTTTTGTTATTTGATCCTGCCATTTTGGACTAATGGTATGAGCTGAAGAATTTCAGAGGCAGTGCTACAATCTGAAATGTCTTCAAGGGTTGAACAGTTTACCTGTTATCTTTTGTAGAATGCCGTTTCTCTTTTATTGCTGTAGGATTCCAATTTGATTAGAGTGTCTAAGACTCTCACTTTTTCTTTATCAAATTGAAAGTCTCTTAATGAGTCTTAAAACTTAGTTACTCTAAGAATTGTGACGAGACTTTTAGTATGTTTTTTTGCACTGCAACAGGTAAGAGATTGGCCATAAAGACAACCGTACACTGGTACTATGATTAGGATTTTTTTTTTTTTGAGACAGAGTTTTGCTCATGTTACCCAGGCTGGAGTGCAATGGCCCGATCTCGGCTCACCGCAACCTCCGCCTCCTGGTTCAGGCAATTCTCCTGACTCAGCCTCCCAAGTAGCTGGGATTACAGGCGTGCGCCACCATGCCCAGCTAATTTTTTGTATTTTTAGTAGAGACGTGTTTCACCATGGTGACCAGGATGGTCCTGATCTCTTGACCTCGTGATCCACCCGCCTCGGCCTCCCAAAGTGCTGGGATTACAGGCTTGAGCCACCGTGCCAGGCCCAGGATTCTTTTTTTTGAGGTCTGAGGCCTCAATGGGTTTCAGCAAGTTACTCCTGATATGCCATCTTTAAAGAGGGAAGAGAATATTTGTTTTCCTACTTTCTTTAAAGGCCTTGGGGAAGGTGATGGGTTGATGGCAGTGTTTTAATAACGAATACTAAAGGAAGTATTGCCTTTCTGGTAGTGTGCTAGTTCATATATACACACACACATATATATTCTGAGCAATTCTCTTGCATACAGTCAAGTATATACTATATGTATACTGT